GACTTACACCCTGTATTCTCTTCCAACTGCTGGCCAGCAGGACACCAGTTCCATCAGCCCTGTAGTCTGTGGATAGTATAGACCACAGTGATGGCTTCACTGTCAATGACCCCAAGGTCTTTTTGTTTTCATGAGCATTGATAGGAAACTGAGAGTCAGCCATCATGTAAACTTGAAGAATCCTTTGTCCCACTAATGTAACAGCTGTTACTTCATCTAAGTCAATGAGAGGTTGAAACAGTATTTCAGAAATTAATTCATGATTCTTGATGTCATGAAATAAATAGAACAAAAAGGATGAGGAAAAGATTGTGGGAACAGCAAAGCCAAAACTTTGTTTCCCTAGAAAATTAGGCAAAATGCATACTGCAGGGATATGCTTCCAATTCCTTTAGGCCCCAGCCCTTCAGCTATTTTTTTTTTCAAATACTATATTCTATTTGGTCCTTTGGGTATATTCTAAAAATATCTCAACAGAATACAGACAGGTTAAAATCCGAGAACTGGTCAACCATTATCTTGAAAAAGTCAAAATTAACAAAACAACACAGATGGAATAGATACAAACACTCAAATACTGTTCACAGGGAAATTGTCTTTAAACAGAAGAGTATCTCAGGGGATTTATGAACTCAGGTCTTAAATCTGATATAGATTCATAAAGCACTGTGGTTCTGTGCTTAGAGACCTGTGCTACATTAACTCAGTTTCTGTGGTTTTCAGACTCTCCAGTCCCACTAGCCAGGAATTCTCCCACAAAAAGAAAACTTATGAAACAGTTTTGAAAGGTAAGAGCATTTGTGTTGTTTTCAGTAACTATGGACAGTCTCAGGCATGGAGTTCTGATCCATTCCTGTTCTCTATTACAGCCTTGAATTCCCCTAGGATAAACTTGTAAAACATGATGCACCATTTGCAGGAGGGAATTATTAAACTTCCTGGAGTTATACACTTAACTGTCTGCTTAGCAATGCAGAGTCATTTCTAGTCAAGCTTTCCAGCACAAAGAATTTGAGTCCAGAAGTATCCTGGAGTCTTTATCATCTCTGCTAACAATCTCCCCACAGTCGAGAATTAGATAAAGCTGTGCCTACAGAATGGGGAAAGATTTTTACCAACTACACATCTGATAGCAAAAGAGGAAGCTTAAATGGCCAAGAAACACTTTTTAAAAACATGTTTAACATATTTAGCCATTAGGGAAATGCAAATCAAAACTACTTTGAGATTTCATCTTACTCCTGTCAGAATGGCAAAATCAAATAAAGCAAGTGACAGTTCACGCTGACAAGTTTGTGGAGTAAGGGAAACATTCATCTGTAGCTGGCACGAGTACAAGCTTGCACGGCCATTATGGAAATTAGTGAGGAGGTTCCTCAGGAAGCTGGGAATCCCTCTACCTTCAGACCCATCTATACCACTCTTGGTCATGTACCCACCAGACACTGCATCCTACCAGAGACACTTGCTTAACCACAGTCATTGCAGTCCTGAATGGAATGTCTTAAGACAAATCTCTCCCGTTGAGGCTCAGGGGTCCACGTGGGAAGAGGAGGCGGAAAGGCTGTAAGAGCCAGAGGGGCTGGAGGACTCCAAGGAAGCAGTGTCTTCCAGACACAACAGGCCCGACACACATAGGAACTCAGAGACTATGGCAGCACGCACAGGGCCTGCATAAGTCAGACGGGCTCCCAGTGCTGAGAGTGGGAGGTTGACACAGCCCCACCCCTAACCAAGAAGCTATCTGCAATTGACACCACTTACAAAGGACAACTCGGTTTTCTCCAATGGAGTCTCACTGGGTATATTACCACTCCTCAGGGCAAGCCCAGGCCCAGGAGTAGTTCACCAACTCAAAACAAACTCAATGGTGTTTTGTAAACTTTTAATCCCATTTTGCTTTGTTTGGGTAGGCTTGAGACTCCCTCATGGAACTAGCACTCTGGAGAGGACATGTGCAAACATTGGCAAATGACTGCCCCAACTAAACTCTCAGCCACAGGCAACAGAGACTTCGAGCAATGTAAGCAACTTTGCCAAGACATACAGGCCTGCCAGGTTTGGTGTGGACGCCAGTTCTCCAGAATCCTGAGAGGCATAATAAACTGTATTCATGATGCTATGGTTGAGATGTTTTTGCTTGTCTTTTTTTTTTTTTTTTTAAGCAAACAGACTACTAAACATGACAATTTGTCATACATCCTACAATAGCTAGTATAATTTCCTGGAGAATGCTTTGAGGAATTTTCTGAGAGCACTATATTTGAGTAGATGCCACCAATACCTACAGGTAATAAAGTATGACAACAGGAGACTGAAGACAAAAGAGCAAGAGGAGCACAGTCATTCACGGAACGCGTGAAGGGCAACTACAAGCAAGAGAGGTGGAAAGAGATCAGAAGAGAGCAGAGATAAAAGTCAGGAGACTTTACACTCACAGAACGGAAGAAATGAACCAAGGTGGGGTCAAAATGAATTCTGGGGACAGAACAGAGAAACAAGGAAAGAATGAGGCTCCGTAGCAGACTGGAATCCAAAAGAAAGCACATGTATGTGTAGGAAACCAAAGGCTGTTATAGGAGTGTAGGAGGTACCAAGGAAAGGGGCAAAGGGCAAGCCCGGGAGGGAGGGCCTTGTCTGAATTGGGTAGTTTACTTCTGTTGATATTCTAAGCACCCACGTACATCTCTCCACTTCTCTTTCTCTCTCTCTCCATTTAAAGGAAGAGAGGAAGTAAAGAAAAGAGGGATGAACAGAAGAAGTGGGAAAAGGGGAGAAAAGGATTCTTTGCCAGTAAATACCTTACCAAAAATTAAAGCCTCTTACAGATAAACTTGTAACAGCAATTTAAATAAATTTATCTCAAACTAAAATCATCTGCCATGGTTTGAATGTTCTTGTACTAAGTAAGCAAACGGTGTTGAATGCTGAGACCCTGAAGACGTGGTCAGGCAATCTGGACTTTACTCTCATGAACCGACTGGCTAGTGTCAGAGGAACGGGCTCATTAATTGCAAGTAGTTTCTGATAAAATGACTACTTCTTTGATCCCACCTTCCACCATGGGATGATTGAGCACAGTGGGATGAAAGTATTTTTCACCTTCCAGGTGTCATCTTCCCCACTGTGAATGTTTGGTTTATTTACATTAATAAGTTGCCACTCAAATAAGAACTGCACCTACAATTAAATCTAAATCTAAGCACATTCTAGAAGATTTACGAGGACTATGAGAAAAGCTCAGTACCACAATTCTATAACTTTCAGTTTAAAGGCTCAGAAGTGTTTAGCTCGAAAGACCAGCTAAGCAACACCACTGAGTCCTTCTACTTTTAAAGGCCATCATTCTTTTAGTTCGTTGGCAATTTTACTAGTGTATCAATAACTAAAGTAATCGGTAGCTACCAAAGAAAAAATAGATTGTTTTGTTTGATTTTTCTAGACAGGGTTTCTCATTAGCTTCAAAGTAAGTAGGTATGATCATGATGTTCTCAAGTACAAAACAGATAGACACAGAAACAGAACTGAACAACTAAATTATAGAAGTGGCGGCACCGACCTTTGACAGGAGAAGAAAATATTGCTTACATATAAGCTGCTCAGCAGCTTCTCTGACAGAGCCTTGACAATTCCCTACATGCTAATTCATAAGTAAACCCATCTCTGTCTATAACAGCTGTGACTTCGCCTTTCTTCCTCCAGCCTAGGGAAGGCTAAATGACCTATGTCCTGCCCAAGGCACAGACTCTCCCTCTGACCTGCTGAGATCCCAGCCTGCCCCCACCCACCACAACACACAACCAGGGAGGGCAGCAATGACATCTATCACAGTCACTTGTTGAAGTACTTGGGATCCTTAGGGTCAGCAAAACCAAAGACCTTCCCATATCAAAACAGAAGACAGAAAAAAAGTTACTATGATTACTCAAGCCAAATGGCTTATTATTATACGATATTTAGGAGGCAGACATCTAGCCACAAATACATTCAAACATTATTTCTTTTAAAACAAAGATGACACTTTATAATTGATGTTTCTTTCATGCTATGAGTTGGTAGTAAAAGACTAAGTAACCTCAGTAGAGTCTCTGAGCACCCCAGTAAGTAAAGAAGCCCTGCTTCTTGTTCTGTGGTACAAGCTGTGATGTCTCTACTTAAGAAGAAATTAGACAACCATGTATTTGATGAGTGCTTCGTCAAAACCTCAACTTCATTAGCACTGCACTGTCTGTAAAGCTACTGCATTTATTTCCCACAATTTCATACTTATTTAAATCATGAGTTAACTTTTTTAAAAAAGTACCTTTCAATTTGTAAGCGGTGACACTAAGTTTCTCAATTGAACGTTAAAAATTAAGTTGTTATGAAAAGATAATGCATGCCTAGGTTCATGGGTAGCAACCAACGAATACTTATTCAGGAAACACAGAGGTTGGAGAAGACAAATGCAAACAGCTGCACCTCTTAATGAATCAAAGCCCTCTATGGTTATCCTGGCTTTTATTTGATTAACACGCTGGCCATTTACTTCAGTGTACATCAACGATGCTGCAGTCTAAGAGCAACAGTGTGCTTTTCCAGGGAAAATGGAAGAGAAGAAACCATGATCGGCCAGTTACTAAATTCTTTCTTTCTTTCAAATGATTAGGATCTGGGATTCATGAAAATCAAGAAACTTCCTGAAAGGTCAATGCAGAAACGCAGTAATCTAAAAACAGTGTTAGGAAGATGAGGGAATGCTTGCATCACAAGCTGTGTATCTACCATCCGCTGGCTGCCATTTGTAAAAATATTACAATCAGAACAGCAGCAACCACTGTGCCAAGTTAGTTCTCAGCATTGAATTTAATTGTTATGGAAGAAAACCTATTTCTTCAGGAAAAAAAACAGTAGATTTAAAGAAAAACTTCCTTAAAGTATGTGCTGAATACAGTTCAGATCCACAGAAACCAAAATCGCCAGGGAAGTGGGAAAATGCCTATGAGGAACTGCAGACTTACCTCGGCTCCTTTGCACTCAGTTGTATTATGGTTTTTTTTGGCAGAGAATCTTGTGAACTTTGCTTCATATCCTGTTAGAAAGGCATAGTGTTTTTAAATTTTACTTTTAAAAACTAAGCATCAAAATTAGCTATGAATACTACCTTGTAAAATTTTTGGAAAAAACACAATATGGGGGCAACAATTCTCTTTCACACACTCTCTCTCTCTGTCTCTCCCTCTCCTTCTCCCTTTCCCTCTCTCTCTCTCTCTCTCTCTCTCTCTCTCTCTCTCTCTCTCTCTCTCTCTCCCATCTCTCTCTCGTTCTCTACACACACACACAACACACACACACACACACACACACACACACAGAGAGAGAGAGAGAGAGAGAGAACGAGTGACAGAGACAGAGACACAGAGAGATGATGCTATCAGAACCAAGTACAACATGCTTGCTGAGGCTACAGTCCACAGTGGCATAGTAGGTTGCTCCATCTTCTAACTGAATAAACCCAAGTGCTAGAGAAAATTCTCCCAACATCTTTGCATTCTGTATCCCATATCCTTAGGAAATACACATCTACTTCTTGTGGGGTTTTTTTTCACTTTAAAATGAAAATTTGTAATCATGACTTGATTACAGGCATCCATTTAAGAAAATATTGAAGCCGCATCTCTAATTCCAGACGTGTAAATTCAAATTGCATATAACATTCCAAATCCCAATATTCATAACTCAGTTACAAATTTGAATATCCAAGTTGTCAGGTGGATGTGTAGAGGGCGTCAGTCATCCTCTAGATGGCTCTTCCTGGATGAGGGGCAAGACCCTGTCAGTGCACTTTCCGCTATAATAACTCCCCGAATACCAATAGGAGCCAGGCAGTCATCACCACCCTGTTCACACATAATGAAAATGAACTAGGAAAACTTTCAAGGCCCTCAGGGGGAGGTCCTGGCAGAGGCCAAGAGCTAATCTAATTCCTTAAACTCTCCACCACCAATGCACACGTCTCAGCACTGTCCACAGCACTCGTGAACCTATGTTGACGCCAAAAGGACCCTGAAAATCAGTTTCACCAAAAGCAGATTAGGGATTAAAAAAATTCAAGTATCAAGAGATTTCTAATTATAGTCAACCAGAATAACTAATTATAATGCCCAGTTGCTTTACAATAAGAGTGTTTGAAAAGCCTATCAATCTGTTTTATCTATCTAGAAATGAGTTCACTGGGTCATTGTTCGTGCTAAGATTTAAGCAGAATGAGTTACACACAGAAATTAAATGCAAATAGACCTATAGAAAGGAGATGGTTGAATATGCAGACATTACATAAAGATAGAAATTCTTTAAATAATGGACAAAACATGTCTTATACCTTAATATTATTTTAATGGAGCTTCTTCTAATCTCTTTTTTAATACAAGAACAAAAGAATCAATTGGTTTTTACAATCATAGAAGAAATCAACTAACCATCTCTAAGAAGGTGTCAGAAAGCTGAGATTGGTACAACTTCTTGTCCTTTAAAATGAGAAGAAATGCAGAGTCTCCAATTATCTTCTCCAAAAAGTTTAACGATTGAAAGAGTCTGTAAAGCAAAACTTTGTTAGTTTGAGAACTCAAAAATCTGCGTATTTTTTATAATTGTAATTAGATCAATTTTAAATTAGAAACAAGCTTACTTTACATGTCAATCCCAGGTCCCTCTCCCTCCCCATGTATTTTTATTTTTAAAACAACGGCCAAATCATTTTCATCTTATATTCACAAAGCTAAATACATAAAGATTCTATATGAACTAGATCTTTGCTTTCCTCCAGGACTAAATATTAAGGGGGGAAATGGTAGGTCAGAGGATTCCACCAATAAAGGTTCAGTCAAAATAAAACTCTCCTGAACATGCCAAAGTCACACCAACTTATTCAAAATGCTTACAGTTCTTACAAACGTGCCAAATAAGAATATCTATAATGATTACTCCAAGAGCTACAAAAGAATACATTACACAGCAGTTATTTACTTCTTCACCACAGAAATGTTGGGCGTTAATAGAACAGCAAAAGAAAATGCACTATTAACTCTAGGTTAGCAAGACTATCCAATTTGTCTGTAAGCTATCCCTGAGGATGAACAGTGCTATCTGGCTGGATTTATTTACTGCATGTTCTTGTTCAAGACAATTAGGAAGAAAGGTTCTCAGAGATCTGGATGATGGGACGGTCTTCACCCTTGTTGTTTTTCTTGAGCGCTGACATTAATAACTACGCTCAAGTTTTACTTTGTGTCTGAGGAACAAAAGCAGAGCTAAGAGCCCATTGATTTCCAGCTCTGGAGTACGCTGTCAGCAGATCACCTACAACTGCTGTGGTGACCGCCAGGACACTCTCAGTAGATCACCTCCAACTGCTGTGGCAGCTCCCCGGGGGAAAGGACTTGGTGTAGATTCTCTATAATTTTCCAAACCCACACATGTACAAGGCTCTATACACTAAGAATGCTTAAACAAACAATGGATGCAGGAATCCACAATGCAAAATAGCTTTGTCAACCATGTCAATTGATGGGAATGACCTATTTATTGTGCTTAGAGCATCGACCATCACTTTCTCTAATACAGGGAGCAATCTGGTATCTATGTGCTAAAATGTTTGCTAGGATTTTCGCAACAGCAGCAAAGATCCATAAAAGATTCTGGACATGGGAATTCTCTCAGCATGCAGGAGGCTGAACCAGTAAGACTGCCAAAAAATGTGACACTAGCCAGGAATACAAAGTGAGTTCTGGCCTGAGCTACAGAGGCTTTGTCTCAAAACAAACAAAAATCTCTAAATCAATTTAAAAAAAAACAAAACAAAACAAAAACCAAAATTTCCTTTTGCAGAACACAAAACCTTAAATGTACATGATCAATATTATTAATAAAATAGACTTACATAACAAACCCATAACATTAATAACAAAATCTTAAGGGCTCCAGTTGTTACCATTATCCAGATAAATTTCTCAGCATGTCCTCATGTCTGCCCTTAGTGTTCTCAAAAGACTAAAGACCAGATGGTAGAAGGTAGTTTCCTTAAGGAAATAATTCCTTCAACCCACGATCATTTCTATTAGCTGCGTGACTATCCTTATCAGACAGCTAAACCTGTAGAGTCATGTTCCACAATAGCGTAAGCCGAACATGGATCCCAGCATATTAAAAAGTGCTAATTAAAGTGAGTTAACAGCACCATTGATGTTTGCATCTATCCAGTGCTCTCACAGAGTCCTAATGAGATGGCACTGGAAGAGAGGGAAACAGTCCCCAACCAGCTCCTCATGATACACCAGGATGCTTTGTTTAAAACAGAGCCAAATGAAGCACAGTAAATACGTTCAAGAAACACAATTTTAAACATTTAAACCTCTCATCAACATGAGACTTCTCAGTGCCTCTAACACTCTAACGTGAACTCATCCTATTTCTACAGAACACACACTCGGGGATCATAGTTTTCTGTTTGTGGTCACGGCTGTTGTTTAAACAGCTGGTACCATGTCTGTCAATCAACAGTCTCATCTGTCCATCTGGACTCTCACACTCACCTTTCATTTAGATTTCTCTTGGTACTGTAACTACAGCACAGGGAAAAGTGAAAGACTTAAGTCTTTCCATAACTGACTTCTTCCCTTCTATCCGCTGCACATGTAAAGCTAAATATCCATCATACTGTCCCAGGCTATTTCCTTATTTTTCCTGTCATAATTAAAAATTAACCCTCAAATACGCCATGAGACATTCTCTTTCTCCATCTTAAAAACCTAGTCTCCAGAGTGAAGTCTAGGACAGCCAGGGCTACACAGAGCAACCCTGTCTGAAATAAACCAAAACTAACAAATAGGCAAATATTTGGCTACTGTTGAGACCACAGCTCTCAAGACTCACCCTTGGGGAAAGAGAACAAGTTGGAAGAGCCCAAATCCCTCAGGTGCTGTGGAGTTGGCACACTGACTGGGTGACATGAAGATAAACAGGGCAGGATGAATCCTGCTTGGAATTGCTTTTACCAGCCCTCAGTCCCTCTCTCACACAGCTGTTCACAGGGACACGTGAATGAACATCAGTCAACAGTAGACAGTAAGAAAGCGCCAGTGCTAACTGCCTCTTTGTCTCTGATTCTCTAACATGTGTTCTGAAATCTCTTTCTTGAAAGTGTCTGTGCTAATGACTTGATAATTGTTTACGACTTTTCAGTTGAAGTGTGAAGTACTGGCAGAGTAAATTCACAAATGTCAAGAGCAATTTGAAGATGACTGTGTCTTTCCACCCCCTCTAACAGGCAGTGCTGCACAGGCCTGGTTCATTAAGCTCAAGTATCAGAAACTACACTGGTACAGACTGCTGGCCTCCTACAAAGGTCATGAGACAGAAAGTGAACAGAAGTTCAGTGTCCTGTGGTTAGGTACCTTTGCTACAGGAGCTGGACAGAGCAGGTGAGCGGAACAGGAGCGTGGCTTCCCCACTGCCCTGTGTGTTTGAGACTTACTTAGAAATTCTCAACAAGTCAGAGGCAAGAACGAGGACAAGCAGGTATTGACATTGCTTTCCAACTGCTTTCTAGAGAGACACTGACCCAACACCATTAACGCCATCGCAACCTCTGCACAGAACACATTCAGGAAAACCTGTTTCCCCAGAGAAAACTGAGAAGATATTCGAGATGCTGCCTTAGGCATAATTTTTGAAGGGATGAAGTCAATAGTGAGGACTTAAGAATATCTGTTTCCTCTTCGTTTCTAGAAAACTATTTAAAATACTGTAACTAAAAACTTTAGCACTTAGTAATGCCAATTGCAAACCAACTGTCTAGAATTGATTTGATGTGCTCCATAGACTTTTCACCTCCAAGAATAGTTACAAAACAATTCAAGTTTTAAATGTATAGGAACATCACAGCATATGTCTGCTGATTTTAAGATATTACGAAGTATAGCATCTTTTATGCATATTTCTTAGCAGAGGGGATTAAACTAACAGGTCCCATGCATGGTAGACAAATTCCCTACCACTCCATTCCCACCTCCGTTTCCCGGCACAACAGTGAAATGGTAAGAAAATCTAGATGAAACAAAAGTCTGCACATAGAAAGACAATGGGTAAGATGCCTTGTCCAATGTGAAACCCTCCCTGAGTAGAACCCTAGGCTGTTATCCAAACTGGCATGATGACAGAGACCCCCCAACACTGAAGGTCAGATTTTCCACTGCTGGGATGCACTGGCTACAAAGATTTCAGCCTTTGCAAGCCACAGTGCACACACAGCTTCTAATTCAACAGTACTATTCTTTAATCTAAAAATTCTTTAGAAATAACTGAGTACCTGTTTCCTCAATTGATCCTTATCTCCAAGCCCCAGCCACCAACAGCTTTTGTCACCCATACACAACTGACTAATTCCAGTCCTTTCTGGTTACCCTCATATCTTGCTCTTTCCTGTCAGTGGCCCTCTAAGAATATGTCAAGAATGCAAGGACAACTGGGAATGACAGAAGACAGCATCAAGTTGCTGATAAAGAAGACAACCCGACTGTCAAACTGTACTTAGAGAAAGCCAGGACTGGCTTTTGACAATGCTTAACATCTGGAGACTGAAGCCAAAAGCTGGGGCTACTATGATGCTTCCACAGAGTTCTAGAAAATTGGAGATGTTTGTCTATAGCAATATATAGAACAAATAACACTATGTAAGTGACCTAATATACACTAGCAGCTTCATACACACACACACACACACACACACACACACACACACACACACACACACGTATGACTCAAAGTTAAAAAGATTTTACTTCAATCTGTGTTTCTATAATTACATTACCTGGTACCGTAATCCACAACCACCCAGTCTTTCGAGGTCCCTGTAATGGCATCGTGATGTTGAAAGAGTCCTAAGTTCCTTCTGGCCTCTGTCAGTGTTGTGTAGTGCGGTGATGAGAGAAACTTACTTATCTTGTATTTCTGAGCTTGCTTCAAGGCCAAATAGTAAAGAATTTCAGCAGCCCTAGTGTATAAAAGAGTCATTAACATGTTTTCTGAAACAAACATTTTAGCTTATAATCACTGAGGCTTTTGTTGCTGTTGCTTTTGTATTTGAGACAGGGTTTTACTATGTAGACCAGTCTAGCCTTGAACTCATGGGGATTTACCTGTCGCTGCACACTGGTGCTAGATTTAACACATACATTACCATGCCTGGCACACTGATGATTTTCAAATGTAGTGTTTAAAAAGAAACACATAATTTCAATGCAAACTCTTTATGCAGAAGATACCAATGATAATTTTTCCAAGAAACCAACACAGTACCTATCTAATATATGTAAGTTCTCTATCACTAATGACTACCATGTTTACAGAGACCCTGGAAAGAAACCTGAGCCTGTTGGTAGGCAGGCACGTCCATCTGTATATAACACAGTGAGAAAAATGAAAGCAGGCAGTGAGACACTGGGCCAGGTGTGAGCTTCTGGAACCTCAAGGCTCATCCCCTCATGATACACCTCCTCCAACAAGGCCATACCTCCTAATCCTTCCCAAACAGTTCTACCAACTGGGAACCAAATTTCAAATCTATGTGTCTGTGAGGACAAACTACCACAAAACGCTAATAAGACAGTTGTTGTACTGAACTTTTTTGATTAGGGTTTTGTTTTGTTTTTTCAAGACCAGTTTTCTACTCTGTAGCCCAGACTAGCTTCCAACTCCTGCAAATCTTCCTACATTAGCCTCTTGGGTACTGGTGTGAATTATTGGGTACTGGTGTCTTTCTCATTTGTTTTAAATACTAGAATAACTTTAGGACAAGAATGGGAGCTTATGGTTTTAAAGACATGCTTCTCAACAGGTTTTTTTTTTAATGTTTTTAAAGGCAACATGGACCAAAAGGTCTAAGAAGGTTCTGCATGACAAACTAGAGAGAATGGATGAAGGCACCTTAAAAATCTATCAATAATTGGGAAAAGGGAGACAAAAGTGCTTTTCTGGAAAAAAAAAAAGTCATGAGCTATCTAAATTGTAGAAATACAGAAAAGATAAAAAATAACCACCATTTCAAATTTCTTTGCCAGACTCATGCCATGGGAGTGAGCCGGTCAGAGTTAAAGAAATCATAGGTATGTCCACTGACATCATGGCTAAACATTCCTGCTTTGGAAAACAGTAAATACTCTAGGGCAGTGGTTCTCAACCCCCTAATACATGCTGTGGTGATCCCCAACCAAAAGTTCTTTCATAGTTACTTCATAAGTGTAGTTTTGCTACTGTTACGAATCATAATGTAACTATGTGATATGTCACCCTTTGGGACCATGACTCACAAGTTGGGAAGCATGGATGGCACGACAGGGCTACCTCACAAAATTCCACCAAAGACTCTGAAATGATTCTTTCCCTTCCACGAAATTGTGTGCCGGGAACTGAACTGAGCGCCTGAAATACTACAGCACTATGTCAAAATATCATATCTATTTTCTTGTTTATCTCTATTTCTATCTACACTTTACAAATGAGAATGGAATATTACCACCAGACAATAAGCCTGTTTTCACATAAATTAATATTCTCAGAAACTCAAAACTATTGTGTACCTTTTGCTTTGCTTTGTCATAAAGCATAATTTAAAAATCCATCTTAGTCATAACCACTGCACCTTGAATCTACTTCATAAATTAAGATATTCACAACTCTTTGACACTAGAAAATAATTAACACTTAAAAATCACTATTTTTGGTATAAATCTTATACTAGTTATCATTTATTCCATTTTATCATGAAATACTTATAATAACAGATATTACTTTATGGATATTTCCTCAGTATATGAAAATTATCTTATAATATTGTAAATATAACACATGTAATAAATATAAATGTATAAATACTCTGCTTTCATACCTGAGATTTTCTTAAGGAAATGATTTTTAAAACATATCTTTCTAAAATGTAATCGCAAGACACTAGCACATGAAAGAGGATGGGTATGATTTAATATCAAGACTCATCTCGGAGGGGCTGGAGAGACGGCTCAGCACTGGCTGAGCACTGGGTGGTAGCACTGGCTGCTCTCCCGAGAGCACTTGGCTTTGGTTCCAGTTCCCGGCATCCACATGGCAGCTCATAACCACCTGGAACTCCAGCTCCAGGGGATGTGTGTGATACCTTTTTCTGGCTTCCCCAGGCATTAGGCACACACATGATGCACACATATACATACATATAAGCAAAACACACATATGCATACAATAAAAACAAACAACTCTTTAAAACAAAAAGACATCTTGAAAATAAATTTCTCACAGCTGGGTCATAGGTGAAGGGAAAGACAGCTTGGGCATCTCAGGCTAGTTTGCTTCACAGAACATCTGACTTGGTTTCTTAGATGCTTGTTTCCTGATGTGACCACATGTGGCTACAGCCATGTGCAGGAAACACGGACTCCAGTTCTCGGCTACACTGGCCACATTTCCTTGGCTCTCACAGTGGACATCACAGAAATGCAGAGCTCTCCCTGTCACTGACTGACAGTTCTACTTGATCGTGCTGTTTGGTGCTCTTCTGCTTTCTAGCTGCATTTCCACAGAATCCATTTACTTATTCAACCAGTCATTTGCTTGCCCCATCAATTCTTATCTCTTTCAAGTTTTGTTCTCCTCAGCAGAAACATGGCATCTATAGGAAGGTACTTAAAATAAATCAGAACTGAGATGGCACCTCTGAAGTTCTCCCACACAGAAAATACACTCTAAATTTCAGAGTGTGCACTTAGAGGCCCACTTGCCACTGCTGAGAAGTCCTGCGCGCCTCTTACACTCTAACAGTTCAGCCTGCTAGGTACCTGCCTGCAGACCACACGGTGGTGCCACCCAATGCTAACACAGAACAGAAACAATACAAAAAATTCATTAGAGAAATACAGGATACAAATTGAAGAAAACATGATTCAATAAATTGCTTTTCCCTCAGAACAAGGGAAGTGTGACAATTTCATTACACTACAGAGACATTCTGACTGCGTTAAAACTCTGTAATTACATTAAATATATAGCACCACAGAAAGGATGCAGGTAAACTCTATTAAAATGCTATGGCGATGTAAAGAATAAACAAACGGAGTTGTTTCAAGGCCTCGTACCTCAAGCGCGATTCCATGATTCTATCCATCCGTTTGTAGAATGGCCTGGACGTAAAGTACCCACTCCAATAGTGATCGTCTCGGTCAGCGTAAGTGAAGAAGTCTCCACTCAGGACAGGGAACAGGGAGTGGCCGCTCTTCTTCTCCGCTGCGGCTGCTTTTTCCAACGCATCAAAATAATCAGACAAAGTTCCAAACTGGATCTAGGAAATAAAGTCAAAGAGTTGTGTTTTAATTATTCAAGTGTATCTTAGAGTGGTTACTTCTTACACAGAAAGGAAAAAGTCGTAAGTATTTGGGAAGAGTTTCCAAGTTGACATGAGTACCAAAATCACATTCATGAATCGTGGGGAATAGAGGGTCCCACTGACTCCTTCTTTGACTTGAACCATGACCCAAATTTAATAAGAGAAAACATGCCTACCTAAGCAGTTTAAAGAACTACTTAGATCTAAAGTCTATAGACCCCAAAACCATACAAAGTCTCAAAATGCTGAAGGGTTCAAAGAGTAGTTCAGATGAACGTAGACGGGCCAGTGGCAAAAACTTGGAAAGTGCAAAATGGTCCAGAAATCTGGAAACATGTTTAGCCACAAGGCATCTCACACATCATACTTCTCCTGACCTGGGTTCTTCTGAGAGAATGGCGAGGCTTTCAGAACGACAGGGAAATCACAGAGTGACTTCCTCTACACTGAATGGAATTAAAACAAGAATGACAAGAACTGCAAGGCTGGTACCAAAGAACAGCCAAAGCCTGAAGGGACGGGGTAAGATGGGAGGGACAAAAACCCTGGAAGAGTGTAACACATGGGGAGGGCTGTATATCCGCCACACTCCAGATGGGGCACTTGTCCAGTCACTGCATGAGACATGAAGACCTAGCAGAGGACACACAAGAAGGACAACTGGAAGAACTCAGCACCTAGTGACATAAAAAGTTAAGACACAGTGAAAATGAGGAGTGCCGGGAGGAGGGTCTCATTGGATGAAGGGACTCGGGCAAACCCGGCAGCAATCAGCTAAAGCTCACACAACTACAGTCATTGCATTTATTACAAGGTTCCTAGACATCAGGCTAAACTACAAAGGCCAGCTGCATTTTATACACAGAATATATCAAATTCATGATGCCAAAAAGTTAACTGCTCTCATCCAGAACCACAGATGCAATGCAATCCTAACATGAGATCAAAGTAGTAGTCATTTGTTGTTGTTTGTTTATTTACAGAAATTACAAAGTTTGTCTAGACATATATAGAACTACTATAGGCCAGTGGGCCACAAACCCTTTGGGGGGGGTTGAATGACACTTTCTCAGGGGTTCCTAAGACCACTGGAAAACACAGATGTTTATATTAGAGTCATAACAGTAACAAAATTTCAGTTATGAAGTAGCAACGAAAGTAACTTTATGGTTGGGGTCACCTCAACATGAGGTACTGTATTAAAGGGCCGCAGCATTAGGAAGGCTGAGAACCCGTCATAGGCAAAAGTCTATCCTGATGCCAGCCTCACACCCATCACTCTATCCCAGATATAATTGTGGATCTAAACGTGGGCGCACAGAGGTTAACCTGGAGGGATAAGGCCGTGTATAATAAGGATAGCTGTGTGCCAGGTCTGCAGCAGTGCCACTTACAATAGCCAAGTTAAGGACTCTGCCTAGATGTCTATCAACGGACGGATGGAGAAGAGCATGCGTCACATCCAGACATGGATTACTACACAGCCATGAAAAGGTGGGGACAACACCATAAACAACAACCAACGGGACACGGTGAAAGAGGTGGATCCGGAGATCACCATACGGACACGGTGAAACGGGTGGACCTGCAAGTCACCCTGATAAATCACTCTGACTCAGAAAGTCAGAGAAATGAGTATAATGTTTTCTCTCATATGTGGACTCTAAAGGGGAAAAGTAGAAGTAGAAACTGGATTATCAAAGAGTAGAAAGGGACTCTCATGAGGAAGAAGCAGATTCATACGGATAACATGAACACAACACCGGACACGTATGTGTGAAAACACCACAGAGAAATCCATTAGATAGCGCAGGTAACACACACTACAAGAAAGGAACACACAACGGCAGCTGCCTTAGCACAGCAAAAGGGACATCAACAACCATGTCTATCACTGTGGTTTGGTGCTGAGTCCCCAAAAGGCTTATGCGTGAACACTGGGTCCTTATTTGCTGGCCCAGTGGGAGGTGATAGACTAGAGGACACAGCTCACTGGTGTGCTCCTCGAGGCAGAACTGGGGCCCTCAGCATCCCTCTTCTATGCCCTCCCACCATGGTGTGTAGCTGCCTCACACAGCCAGAAACACAGAGAAAGGAACCTTAAGATGTCTGAAATTGTGGGCCATGAAGCTCTGGATGGCAAGGGCCCCATTACACACCGTCATGCACTCATATGGTAGTCAAACACTGCCCAACATAACATGGTCAAGCCGTTTTATTTGTATTAGAAAGAAACTGAAAACAACTTAAACCTCAAACAACAGCAGAAATGTTGAAAGTAGGCTATAAACACTAGATGGATACCAGAGACACTGGACAAAACACAGCACAGTAGCAGAAACAAGAGAAGTCTCCTGGATGGGGGTGAGGACTTTACCTGTGGGTATGAGAACAAATACGTAGAATGTGGCTAGGGACACTCCAGCCGGCATGGTGTAAGTGTCTCCTAGGACCAATAAAGTCTCACCAGCGTGACTGCTTGGACGTGACTGAACAAGGACAACAACAGACTGGCAAAGGGGTCGGGAAAAAGACCGTGAGGCCTCAAGCCTACACAAAGAACTACAGGCAGTTAAGGAATGCTGAGAGGGACCAAATGGTCTTCCAACACCAGGCCTGGAAACATACATACAAGTCACCTTACACAGACGGAGCAGGGTTATATTTAAGGATATGTATGTATACATACACATATGTAGACACCAACAATCAGTAAAAGAGGCCATGAGTTTGCAATAGAACAGAGCTGAGTTTAGAGGAGGACTTGAAGGGAGGTAAAGGAAGGGGGAGCTGATGTCATTATAATCTCAAAAGATAACGAAGTAACTCTCTAAAAAGGGATGAAGAGGGTGGTTGAGACTCAAACATCTTCTAAAAGGAAACAGGCAGAGACTCGTGACTCCCTGCCTAAGACACTCAAGGAGGGATAGGAGTGAGAGCTCAGGGTGTCTCTGCAGCAGCTGGTGGGAAGTGGGAGGGAGGGGCGCAGAGAAGCTGCCTCTGAGTGTGATGTGCTCAGCTTGATGCTGGGTGATGCTTACAAAAGAATCTTTTAAGCTAAAAACAATTCTCTGCATAACCGTTTGTGCAATGTTTTGTATATGATATTTCATCAAATTATTTTCAAACTTGTTTTTTACTGAGATTACAAGAGAAGAAAAGAGAAAATGAAATTATGATGGAACTCTTTAGGGTCAAGTAGGAAATTAGACTAGAAATCATTCCCAAATAAGATGCATTTATGGGGGCTCAGTGAACAAAGCACCACCCACAAAGCACGAGGACCAGAGTCAGGATCACCAACCAGCACCCACACAAGAGAGCCGCACACAGCAGTATGCACCAAACACCAGCGCTGGGGAGGTGGAGACAAGTAGTCACTGGAACTCTTCTGTCAGTCACTTGCCAAATACATAAACTCCAGGTTCAGTGAGAGAGACTCTGCCTCAAATAACCAGGTGAGGCGTGATCAGGGAAGGTACTCCATGTGAACCTCTGCCTTCCACACTCATGCCCACAAAGTAAACAAACAAATAAGAACAGAAATGATGCATTTGAAAGTAAGATGTCTCCACACAGCCTTCTCGGAGCTTCACTTCTGAGGATACAGCTTACAGGCATTTCCTTTGCTCAACCTCATAGCTTGCAAAAATTTAACTGTAAATATTTGGGATAATTTTTTTAATGTATTGGTGGGCTGGAGAGATGTCTCTGTGGTTAAGAGCACTGGCTGCTCTTCTAGAGGATCCGGGTTCAAATTGCAGCATCCACAAGGCAGCTCACGCCTCTTTGTAACTCCAGTTCCAGGAGACCTAATACCCTCACGAAGACATACATGTAGGCCAAACAGCAATGCACGTTATAAATTCATTTACTTGGTATTATAGAAATTCACTTAATGAACTTAGATTCTTAGCACAGAAACTATGATTGATTATGAGTTTTAAAACTTTCTCCATAGAGACAGCACTTCCTCCCACAGATCCACTGTGCTGTGGAGGCTTCATGGCTATGACAAACACAGTGAAGAGTGAACTTCCTCATACACTCTCTCTAAGATGCATCTGAAACTTTGCTGACCACATGCAATAAATGCAACAAATTGAAACCTGGCTTAAATGAAGAATGAGGCAACTCCAGTCTTTCCAGATCATGTCACTAAATGGTTGCTAATTTCTGGCATTTATAATAAGACTCTGATTATGTCTTTAATTGTTATCATTTAGACATCCATTCTAAAAATGTTGGGGATAAAACATGACACCTGAGATTTGCTCCCAAAGGCTGCTGGAGGACACATCTGAAACAAGGGTGGCCATGAGTGCTGGAACTGAGCTATGGTGCTGAAGAGAAGGAAGCTGCCTCTGCTCTTTCTAGAACATTTTAAATTTTCCACAAGTCAAAAAAAAATCAACAACAGTAAAAAATCACAGGCATGGGATTCTTTTCAAAATCTTCTCACTTAGGAAGAATGAAAGTGTATTCTCTGAAAACAAGACAGACATTTGTAAACTCATGACACTCACATTCGTAACAGCCAGTCACATGACTAAGTCACAAGGATGCAGCCAGGCCCACAGAAGAAAACAATAAACTATCCAGGCTGTACACAAAGCAGACACCACTGAAAAAGAGGACCCAGCTGAGTAGGGACATAGCAATCCCTCTCTAACCCCAAGCACTAAACGTCCTCATGTGGGGAGGAAGGTTGACTTTTGAAAACAGAACCACAGGATATGTGAGCTAAGATCTGTGGGGAAGAGGAAGTCCCAGGGATGTAGACCTGAGAGCCTGAATGCTGCACTGGGGCCTGAAGGATGGAGGCTCAACTTGACAGACGTCATCAAAACCTCATTACCTTCACTTTAAGATGGGGTTGAGAGTTCATGTAATTGAACAGTTGCTCGTAATTCCTGTACTGCAGATCCCACTCTGTGTACTCACTGAACCGGAAATCGTCTCCTAGAGGAGCCAGGAGAACTTTAGTACGGAAGAGTTTTGACTTCTTCCGGTACTGATCTAGTAGCATTTGAGCTCTGTGAAAGAAAAGGGGAAATGTGAAAAGTTATACCAGGAAGAAGTGGACACTGTAGCTCAGTAAAAAAGCAACTTGGGATTCCAAAAGTGTATTATAGGAAAAAATATTATTGATTCAAAAGTTAGGTAAAGTGAGATTTCTAAGACAGACTTTCCCCATCGCTTATTGTCTATTTCAAATGGTCATAAATTCTTATTGTAGGGAAACCACACAGTTTTCCAATAGATTTTTGAGAAACCACGGTGAACTGAGACACTAATGTCGTCCTGGAATCAACCTCTTCCCAGCCACAGCATTAGACACCAGACAGCCCACACGCTAGAATAATCTCGTATAGGACGACATAAGGCTTCTCAACTATATATCAATACTGACCTTGGCTCTACTTTAGTATTCCATTTTCTAACTTAATTAAAAAAAAACAAACCAAATAGTCTGGTAAAACATAGTTCGAAAGGGATTAAATGCTATAAATCATAACCCATAATATTCTATATAATTTTATATTTTCTTTTCCAGAGGAACACTGGCTCACTGCACACCTGCCATCAACAGCCCCATTGCGGTCACACTGCCCTTTGATCAACAGCAAATGTGTGGGAGCTGAATTCGCTATTCTGGTTGCTGCCCTCTTGGGCTTTGAACCATGACCCCCAAAGCCAGCCAAACACAATGTGCTGATGTCAAAAACTTTTACACCTCAGACTAAGTATTCTGGAGACATGCCTTTGGGGGATGCCGAGCTGGGGCAGCATTGAGAAAACAGGAAGATAGGCCCATGAAATGAAATTAAACAAGCAGATGAACCCAAAGAAAGTCATTCAGTGTAGACAAAGTCAAAGCTTAGGAAACTAGTGTTTAAATGACAAGGATGGGTTTTTGCCTAGTATTCCAATTTTCACTTCAAAGATTATCCAAATGTAGATTACAATTCCCAATATAAAACTCACGAAAGTACCTCAGAGGGCACCAATAAGCAGTATTTTATAAAAGTAACATTTAATGCAACTTAGAATCCCATATGGACTTTCTGAAATTTATAGTATCTGAAACTGCTTTGCAAATAAAATTTTAGCAATAATTTAGTAGCTTGATAAGAAGAATATAATCATAGTGATCACATATATAATCCTTACTTTTCTGAGATTAGCATTTGGTGAGATAGTTAATCTTTGCTACCAAATATGTGTAACATTTCATATTTCCTAAAATATACTTTTAGATTATTACTTATAAATTCAAATACACATGAACCACATATCAATAGATTAACCACCTATAAATAGAATTTCCTCCCCAGAAAAAGGAATAAAAGAAAATATTACAACAGACAAAACATGTACTATGGATGAGCATACAACTACATTCCTGAGGCAGCCATAATTTAAAAGAATAAAACAAAAAAGGTTGACTAATAGATGAAATAAAGCGTAGATATATGTATGTGGCTTATAACAGAAAGAAAAGACGGTACGCGCATTGCCATGCCATTACCTCTGATCTGTGAGCCCAGCTGAAAAAAAAACAGGTACTCTGTCCCTTACAGCATGTAGCAGACACTCAAGAGCTGATGGACGGATGAACAACTACCCAGCCACCACCGCATCTGAAGGCAGGTAGCTACTATTTGCTCCTGACTTCTTCCATGCTAACAACTGTCAACTAAACCTATAACTCTAAGATTATCTGATATCCAGTGAAAATGGACAATTTAAAAATACAATGACAGGTCAGAAATTAAAATGGTGGATGCTATTTCCTCTTTTGCAAAATTAGAGGAAGCCAATGAACCGAAACTATCAAAGGATGACACCTGTCTATTACAATTAAATCTAATTTTCCTTAGCTACTGAACAGGGGACAACATCACTCAGCTGGCTGGAAAGCCTATATTTGATTTCTTCTCATGACTAGTTTAAAAAAAATTAAGATGGTATGAGAACATTAAGTTACCAGGAGAGTTCACATTTCAAAAAGTTTTTAAAACCCTATACAGATCATTCTCCCACATCCCCTGAGGAGCCCGGAAGCAACCTGAGAACCACTGGAACTCAGTAGTATGTGTATTTTTGAGGGGAAATCTGCAAAAGGTTAAGTGACATGGCAATACAACCACACAAAATGTGTTTGTCCCTCATAACACACCTCCTCCAACAGGCACCTTCACCAGCACCAAAAGACCACAGGGGACCTCCCAACTGAAACTTTTGGCTACGCTGAGGCACCGCAAACGCCTGTACCTACAACTGCTTGCTACATGGACAGGCAGCATCGCTCATCGCCAGCCTTCTCTTTCCACCACAGGCTCTGATAAACACAGCACACGCTCGTTCTCAAATGCCTGACCAAACTCTCCTGGACCTGGTCAGTAACACAACCACTGTGAGGTGAGAATCTGACAAAACACAACTTCACAGCCTCAAGAAGGCTGCCACGGGTCTGTTACAATGAGGGGCTCACACTGGCACACGTCTGTTATGACAAGGACTCCATCAAGGTCAAGTGACCCAGTATAGCTTTCTTCCTCCCCAGTATTTTAAAAATATTTTTTTCAGTTTTTGAAATTCAAATGTAATTATATAATTTCCCCTTCTTTGGTCCCCCCTCCAACCTTTCCCATGTAACCCCCCCACCCCCGCGCTCGCTTAAATTCATGGCTTCTACTTCTGTAATTGGTGATCTACGTGTGTGCGCACGCGCGCGTGCACGCACGTGTGTGTATGAATGATCTGTGTGTATGTGTTAACAATCTACGTGTCTCTGTGTGTGTGTGTGTGTGTGTGTTAACAATCTGTGTGTGTGTGTCCAACCTAAATTTATAAGAAAACCTATAATTTATTTGTGAGATTAACCACATATAAACAGAACTCTCTCCTCGTCTGTGTGCTACCATACCAATTTATCTAAAAGTTATTCAGACATCCCCAGATAGCCTCCCCTTGTTGTCTCTCAAATTCATAACCTCTATTTCTGATACAAATATATGTACCTATATACATAAGAAATATATATACATGATGTATTAATGTATTCCACACCTCTCACTTTAAGTGTAGGAATTTAACTTTCTAAGGGCCAAAGTGAGAAACTGTAGTAACTTGAAAGGGGGAGTTCCCTTCACTGGTGCACCCTGTCTGAAGAACTGGTCCTTCCTTGTGACTTTTATCCGCATGTATTTAAATATAAATAATTCTAAAGTCAAAAACATCAGAAAGATGCAAAGTTGTATTCATTCGAGCCGTGCATAGTCACCATCATTGAAATTGTTTCTAAGGTAAGAGATAATTACACTCTTCGTGTGCTCATTTCAATAAATGTGTTTCTGCAGTTGGGTTGCTTTTCTTACCAATTTGTACAATGGGGACCTGAAGTCTTATGCACAGAAGTATATGAAATCAATCAGACGCAGTAGAAAGCTTTTATAATGAGTATAAAGGAGACGGTAATAACAGCATATTATAGGTTAGCTATTGTATATTGATTAGCGTTGTTCGCTCGCCATTACAACACGGAAAGGAATGGTCGAGGTGCTGGCATTGTGAAGTTGCTTGGGATCTGGTTTGAATGAATAACTTTGAGGCTAATGCTGGCTGCCAACACCCACTTATTTGATTCTTCAACAACTCAGAGTAGCCACGGGGCTCTTGATGTCTTATAAAACTCATATTTAATACCTGCTTTGGACATTTCCAGGAGATATTGCTTCTGGTGGCACTCCCCAGGGACAACCGTATCTGCCTCCAGGAAGCCGTTTGAAATCAAACTGGCAGCAGATTTTCGGGTCAGGCCCACAGGTGTGAGGGATGTCATAGCTGTAGAAAGGCATCATGTGGCACAAAATATCCGTGGCAGACCCGAGATCTGAAATAAAAAGTCCACAGATTTCTGTTCACAAAACTCTGTCTCCCCAGGGTTATTCAAATGCCATTGCTTTACACAAATGTAGGTAATGCAAGCTGTGCCCTAAATCGGCAGTCATTTTCATGCCCCAGAAGCATTTCACAGCCACAGCTGAAGGAAGATCTGTAGCTCACCCTCATTCACCCCTTCTATCTAGTAGAACTGAAATAGGAAAGCCCCTGATGAACCAGCAATTGCTGACCTGCAAGATACAACCTGAGCAAAAGCGAAAGTTACAGCTGGCTCATGCAAAATCATGACCTTGTCCACCCGGGCTGCCAGCTTCTGCTACATGTGTTCCTAGGGACACACTGTGACAGTTCCATTAGCCAGAGAGGCTAGGTGAGAAATGGAGTAAGAGGAGAGCTGAAGGAACAAAGAAGAAAGGGTGGGCGTGGAGGGGGAAGCCCTGGACAGGGGCCAGCTCCCTCCATCGGGAGAGAAAGTGGAACACTGCAAAGTTCATGGAGTCTCTCCTGCTGGTCCCCAGGAATGAGTCAGTGGCATTTTCCATCACAAAGGATGCACAGGAAAAGGGAATTTCCAATTCAAAAATCAAAGCAAACCAAAACGGTATGGAAACTAAGTACTAGCTACTAATAGAGGGCTGTATTTTAGTTAAGAGCTCCATGTCAAGGTGAGACTACCCGCCTCAACAGTCAGAAGCAGACCTCCCAGTGGACTAAGGTTTCTGAGTATGATATGACGCTTTAACAGCCCCTGCTTTTATGTATGTGTGCATTTCCAGTTTCTACAATGGGGATTGCTTCTTTAATAAAGACAAAACAATCAACACATATTTTTAACAGCGAAAATAACTGCTTCATTAAGAATAAAACACACATGCAAGCTCCACCTAATTTGAAAACATCTTTCGAGCCGCTGCATTCTCAAGCCTATCAGAGAAGTCCTAACCAGTTTTAACCTCTTCTCTGGCAAAATTTTAAACTATTCAAAGACCTGTGTTTCTGTCCACTATACACTGCAAGTGGCAATGAACTAGACCCCCAAGTGTGACACCAAGGACGATGGTCACAAATGCCTGATGCAGGCATATAGTCTGCCATGAGTCCCAAAAGTGGGAGTAACAACCTCCAGCTTTCTTCTGGTCAAGACATGGACCCAGTACCTTTCCTAACAACCACCATTGGGCAGCTTATTTTACATAGTTGAGCCTCCTGTGTTCAGTTGTGTCTATATTGTACTGAATCAAAACACAATTTCCTTATACACAGGATATTTTCTATATTCTGTCCTAGCTGCCATAAATACATAAAACTACTCAATAATTTCTTGCCAACAGATAATTCTAAACAGCTTGAAAGATGCCAATTGTTTAAGCAAAGCTTCTGCAAATGACTCTTCCTTCACTCCTCATTAAGGAATTCACTTTGCAACAGACAGAGACTAGTACAGGAAACCACAACCAATCAAAATGCAGAGTTGTGGGGTCCTGTCCCTGTGGATACAGCTACAAAACATCCTGACGAAACTGTCCAAGTCCTAAGGCATGTTCAACTTCCTGAAAAAACAGTGCTTCTCCCACTAGACCAGAAGGAAAGCATGAGCTTCAGCAATACTGAATGCTGTATCCATTCGTTTCTATTGATCATGAAAATAACTTTACAACTTTCCAAACACTGACATCAATGTTTATAAGAATCTTGACACAAGTACAATGGAAAATAACGTCCTCTAACAAAAACTATCTTTAATCAGTGTGATGTTCAAGGCCTACATCACACCATAGTGGTGTGGTGATTTGAATGAGAATGGCCTCTTAAGCTCATATATTTGGATACTTGGTCCCAGTTGAGACTTTTGGGAAGGATTAGGAGGTCTGGCATTACTGGAGGAGGTTTGTCACTAGGAGGGAACTTTGAGGTTTCAAAAGCCAATGCCATTCCAGTTGGCTCACTGTTTTGTGTTTATGTCTCAAGATGTAGGTTCTCAGCTAGTGCTCCAGGGCCATGTCAGCATGCCTGATGCCATCCCCCACACCCAACATCTTCATGGATTCTAATCCTCTGGAACCATGAACCCCAACAAACATTTTCTTTTATAAGCTGCCTTGGTCTTGGTGTCTCTTTATAGCAATAGGAAAGTAACTAAGACACCCACACTGGTGTAAGTTCAAAACCCCTGTGAGAGTACAGCTCCATCAAGTGAAGTCATCAGCTTTCATCAAATACAACGTATCCCAGTTCTGTCTCCAAACTGCTATGCACCCCCATTCTGTCTCCAAAATGCTACATACCCCAATTCTGCCTCCAAAAAAACTCCAGAGATTTTTGCAGTGAGAAGTGTTTTTTCACTGAATAATGTACTCTCTGGATGAGCATGTGAGAAAACCCAGCAAGTTTCAGAAGATAAGCCATTGTGGGTGAGTGTCCAAAAGGATCTATGGCCCAACCCGATCGAGGCTTCACTCCTGTTGATAAAGAAAAGAAATGTTAGTTTTCTTTTGTTTTAATGGTAAGTGAAATAAAAAGAAGTTAATGATACATTGAGACACATCTGAATTCCACAGTCTCCTGGGCTTGAAGATAAAGGGAGCACCCACTACACCACCTCGCAGCTGTGATTAAGTGACTGCCAACCACTGGAGGTAGACCAGTACTCAGTCTGTTGTACGGGATTAGACAACCCAGGAAATGGCTGATCTGTCAATTCAAGTTCCACTTCCAAATCTCAACAGTTGGCCATGAACACCTTCAAACAGCCCAATATCATCATGTCACACAGAGGCAGAACTGATTGAAATAACTGTCCGCTGAGCCTTGATGCATTTTGATGCTCTTCCTATCTATCTACCTACAGTGAGGTCAATGGAATGCTTCAAACAAGGCTCAGAGCAGGTACAGGAGCCAGCAGCTAAAATGTGCCTCTGTTTCACAGAGGATAAAATGTGACAAAAATGAATAAATGCACAGGTTAGAGCTAATGAGACAAGAATATTCATTTAGCATTATACAAATTTGATCATTCGGTTAGTCAAGACTCTCAAGAAGTCTACTTACAGTGTAAAACTTGGCAGAACTAATAGAGCTGTGCACATATTTTGTTTTTTCATTCAGACACCTGTTTAGCATTCCCACACATTTACAATTATGAGAGGCCCGAGGGTTACAAAAATGAGTTAAAGCTGATCCTGACTGGAGTAGCAGAGCTATCATTCAAATAGCTATGACCCACAGTAACTCATAAGACAGGAGCAAAAGGAACCTTGCTGAATAATTCTAAAGTATTACACAGGAAGCAGCAAAGGAGACTGAGAAGGGAAAGTAAAGACCCATACAAGACGCAAGTAAGTAGAAACACATACGTGCACACGAGCATGCACACGCGCGCGCACACAAACAAGTAGGGCAAATTCTACTTGGTTTTAATAATAAAAACCAGAGTCAGAAATACGGTTTAATGCTGAAAGATCAGAGAAACAAAGCAGCCAGTCACTAGTTCTTACTGAACAGACCAAAAAGGCCATCCTGACCCTAATGAAACATCAGACTGAATGCAACGAGCTCCTGCCGCCTCCCACCTTCTATTTCTCTCTCCACCAAGCCACGCCCCTCCTGTCTCCACCTCCCTTGTGCAGGGAATAAAGGTGTGAGCCAACACTGTCTGGCTGTTTCTCTTCTGGACTGGATCAATCTTGGGTAGCCCACGGTGGTCTTGAACTCACAGAAATCTGTGTGCCTCTGCCTTCCCAGTGCTGGGATTAAAGGTGTGCACCACCAACTCCTGGTCTCTATGGCTAACTAGTGGCTAGCTATGCACCACACACACACACACACACACACACACACACACACACACACGTTGGGGAGGCGTACGATATAGTTATTATTCTTGACGTAACTCCTATAAATATATCTCACTTTTAATAATTGTGCTGGCTGGTTTTATGTCAGCTCCACACAGGCTATCATCATGTGAGGAGGGAACCTCATGTGAGAAAATGCCTCCCTAAGGTTGGGCTGTAGGGCAGCCCGTAGAGCATTTTCTTAATTAGTGACTGATGGTGAAGGGCCCAGCCCATTGTGAGTGGACCCCTGGGCTGGTGGTCCTGGGTTCTATAAGAAAGCCTGCTGAACAACAAACCAGTGAGCAGCAACTATCCATGGCCTCTGCACCAGCTTCTGCCTTGTTTGAGTCCTTGTCCTGACTTCCTTCATGACGAATAGTGATTTGGAAGTGTAAGCCTAATTAATAAACCCTTTCCTCTCCAAGTTGCTTTTGGTCATGGTGTTTCATCACAGCAATCGTAAACCTAACTAAGACATTCATTATTCATATATCTGGGGAGAGTATGTGGACATATGTGTGGGCACCAGTGGGGTCCAGAAGCGCATGTTGGGTCCCCTGGAGCTGGAACTACAGTGGTTGTAAGCTGTCCAGCGTGGTTCTGTGAACCAAACTTGAGTCCTCTGGAAGAGTAGTCAGTGCTCTTAAGTGCAGAGTCATCTCTCCAGTCCCCTCCTACAAACTATTTGTTAGAAAGAAAAAAACTTTAATAAAGAAGTTTAGCAGATCAAGGTCAGCGCAGCCAACACTAACACATGGGAGACATGGCGTACCTCTCAGAAGATGGTGGGGGTAGCAGGATCATCAGCACTCCCATTGCTAGCCAAGAGATAAATAAAAACTACAGCAACATTCAACCCAAACACCAGCAAACAAATTCAGATCGACAGACAGACGTTTTCCCAAACTGGCTTGTACTCCTCAAAATACTGCAGTCAAGAAACCAAGAAAAGCTGAGGAAAAGCTCAAGATTAAAGACAATTAAGAGATGTGACAACTGAATGTAACCCATGCTCCTGGAGCAGACACTTGACTCTGCATGAGGAGCAGCTTCTGTGTACAGGTGCTGAGATGGCCTGCAGCCAGCTGGGAACCAGGCTGTCCTGTTGTGTCACTGCTAATACTTCTGGTTTGATAACTATCTTCTGATTACTAAAGGAAGTGTCCTGATTTGTTAGTAAATACACTATCAGCTGTCGAGAAATAGAGAGAAAAGTGCCTTTGACTTACCATCATGTGGTTCATGAACACACACACACACACATGCACGCACACACACACATAAACACACACACACATACACACTCACACATGCACGCACACACACACACACACACTCATACACACATGCATGCACGTACACACACATACACATCACACACACACACACACACACACACACACACACACACACGAACCTATGTTCAGAATATATGGCAGTCCTTCCCAGTAAATGCCCTAGAGCATTTTATGAGTTTGAAACCTAAGGAGTAAGTATCGTCACAAATACAGAGAAAAGTAAGATTCTAAGTAGGCCATCAAATGTCAGAGAATTTAGCATCCAACAATACAGAATTGCAGCACCACTACTGATTTTTTGCCCCTATGGAAATCACTGGAACCACAGAGGAACAAATATCTACAATGGAAAAAGGAACCAAAACACGTAAAAAAGAATGAAAAGAAGATGCAAACTGCATTAAAAAACAAAACTTGTTGTGAAAGGTAGTAAGGGCTGGGAGAGAGTTCTGGATTCCAGAACCTGCCAGGATTTCTCTTGGCATTAAGAAAAAATAATTTCTTTTTTAAGGGTAAGAGGAAGGTTCAGGAGTAATATATAAAAACTCAAAACTTTTGTAATCAAAATGAATAGGAAATTCAGACTATTATAATAATATGTGACAAACAGGTACAAATGATCTGTTTCTTCTTCATTCTGCTGAAGTGTTACCATCCTACTTTTCACACAGAATACCAACTATTTATATAAGCATTGTTTTAATACAGAGATTACTACATATAGTCATTAGTCTATATAATAAATAACTAAAAGTTTGGATTTCTCATAAAACAATTTTAATTGATATTTTAGATAGAAACATTTTAGATGGAAATATTCTAGCATTATTAAAAACAAAAATACAAAAAACTAGCCTGGTGTTGGTGGCGCACTCCTTTAATCCCAGCACTCAGGAGACAGAGGCAGGTGGATCTCTGTGAGTTCGAAGCCAGCCTGGTCTCCAGAGTGAATGCCAGGATAGGCTCCAAAGCTACACAGGGAAACCCTGTCTCAGAAAAAAAAAAAATAAAGAAGAAAAGAAAGAAAGAAAGGAAGGAAGGAAGGAAGGAAGGAAGGAAGGAAGGAAGGAAGGAAAGGAAAGAAAAGGAAAAACTAACTCCAACAGAAGGTACTGTAGGCATAAACTGTTGCAGTAAGTTTTTCAAATGCCCATAAAATATTTGCAATGTAAAGAGTGCAATGCTGACTGGTTGTTACATTAAATATCATAAACCATAAATAATTCACACAATTGTAGCATATTAAGAAAGAAATCTAATCTCACTTATGAAAACAAATACAAAAATCATAAAACAAAAACCCACTACACAGATTGAACTCCATGGCACCCAGGCCAGAAGGGACTCTCTCTGGAAGTCAATGAGTTTTTAATTGAGAAAACTGCTATCACACTCAGAACAAATTAAAAAACCCACATAACGTTAATAGATGTCTGAAAGAAATGCAGTAATACTGCAAATCGAGAAGTACTAAAAAGGAATTTTCTCGACACTATTAAAAATGATCTACATAAAATAATGCATAATATAAAGCTAAGTGTCTTTAAGCAACTTCATTAAATATCTGAAATCACAAAGGCAAGTGTCGCTGTTAACATGTGACGACTACAGAAGGTTCGAATAAAGCAAACATGTATGATCTAAATACTAACTGTATTAAACATAACTTTCACTTTTAAGGTAGGATATATTTACCATATGTGATAAATTACATAAAATATTAGCAGTAATAAAAAGAGACAGTGAACTCAAACATACAAATCAAAAGTTGTCTTAAACACTAGTATTAAACAGCTAAAAGAAAGAAGAAAGGTGCTGTCACAGCTGGTGTCCCTTGTAGACATGGCAGATTGTAAAATCGCCTGGGTGGCAGGCCTTGATGTATCTTCGGGGGATTGTCTCGACTATGTTAACTGATGGCGAAGCCACCTCTTAATTGTAGGTTAGGACGTGGGCTGTGTGTGTGTGTGGACAACGCAAGTTGAATGTGAGTTGGCACTTGCTGCTCTCTTCTTACGGTGGATTCAAAGGGAACAATGGCCTCAATCCTGACTCCTCAACTTACCCAACATGAAGGACTGCAACACGGAACCATGAGCTAAAACAAATCCTTTCTCCCATGAGTCGCATTGTCAGAGTATTTTATCACAGCAACAGAAGGAGAAACTAAGATGGGGTAATTAAAACTCAAAGAACAGAGGCTGGCAAGATGGCTGAGTGGGTTAAACACTCAATGTGCCATCCTGATGACCTGAGTTCAATCCCCAGAACTCACAGTGGACGACAGGGAGAGCAAGCTCCTGAAAGCTGCCTTCTGACTACCATACACGTTCTGTGGTACACACATACCTGCACACACCTACACACACACACACACACCTACACACACACACACACACACACACACACACATGCACTCGCACACACGCTCAGGGGGTGGGTACGCAGATAAGAGGGAGTAACAAAATCTAAAAACAACAAGTAAACAATCACAAAATGGTAGAAAAATTTTCATACAGTGTGTGTGTATGAGAGAGACACACACAGAGAGAGAGAGAGAGAGAGAGAGAGAGGAGAAATGGGTCAGAATGGCTCAGGCTCTGAACAAAGATCACACAAGGGTAACAACCCAATTAAAAGGAGTGAGACTCCAAAACTTCAAAATACGCAAATAATGGACAATAAACACAAAAATGCACTCAACATCCTTGGCTGTGAAATAAATGCAAGTTGGAACAATAAAATCATTTTATCTCTACTGAAATTGTTAAATTGTTACTTGAAAAGACTGGCATTAGAAATGTTGGCAAAAATATAGAACACATTCATTGCTGGTTGAGAGTACAATAGTAAAAGCACTTAGAAAAGCTCTGCTGTACCTATAAAGTTAAACACAATGTACCCAGCAATTCTATTCCCAGTATTTATCAATGACACTGACACATGCTTTACAAAGAGCTGGTACATAAGTGCGTGTAAAAGCCTGTGTCATACAGCAGCCCCTAAAAGCATACTACAGACATTTAATGGGGGCCTGTTTTAAAAACCACCCTACTCAGCCATGGAAAGGCATGAGCTGACAACATACGAAAGATCCAATCACAAAAACCAGTCACTACGGTTCTTTACGGTAGTGGAAAGATACGGGATACCTATACAAAATTCAACACACTGAGTTATTTACACTACCCATAATGACTCCTAAATGAAACCAAGAAAATAAACCGCATTTACAATGGCAGGTAACAAAATAAAATAGCTACAACCAAATTCGACAAAGAAACAAAAGAGAAAAACTATGAAAACCTTACTGAGGGAAACTAATGACATACATGAATGAAGGCACAGCTTGTATTCTGTAACAGGGTTTGGTGTGGTTAATGACAGTGTTTCCTGTTTGGCCAACAGATTCCACACATTCCCTCCAAAATCCTAACTTGTATTTATTTATTTATTTATTTATTTATTTATTTATTTATTTCTATTTTATGTATGAGTGTTTTGCCTGCTTGAACAGTATGTGCCCAAGTTGCATGAAGTGCCCAAGGAGGCCAGAAGAGGGCAACAGATCCTCTGGAACCAGAGTTACAAGCAATTGTGAGTCAACAGGGTTTCATGTGTCCCAGGCAGGCCTGGACTCTAGTAGGTAGACCAAGATGACTTCAAACTCCTGATTCTTGTGCCTCCACCTCCTGAGTGCTGGGCATACAGGGGTACATCACCATGCCCAGTTTGTGTGATGCTACAACTTGAACCCAATGCCTTGTGCATGCAAAGTACTCTAGCTACTCAGTCATGTCCCTAAGCACAGCTGGCAGTTCTACAAATATTAAGTGACCTAACGTTCATGGAGAAACACGCACGAGAAAGACAAGTTTTTTTTTTTCTTTAAGTTGGGATGATCAGGCTTCTGAATATCGAATTTAATATACAGCTACATAGTCAAGATAGAATGTTACTTGGCATGAGGGTAGACACTGTCAGCAAGAAAGCCAGGACAACTCAACAGGGGTGTTAGGGCAAAGGGGCATCACCGCACAAAAGAACGAGTGTGGGATTCGGGCGCACACACACACACACACACACACACACACACACACACACACACACGGGCTAACTGAAAGAGGATCACAGACACAAAACTTAACCCCCAAAAATTATCAGAAAGAAAACTAACCCAGGGCCTTGGTTTGGACAGTGTCTTCCTACTATGTCATCAAAACCCAAGTGACAAAGAACCAGGAAATCAGACATACTTGGGGAGAAAACTGAACCTGACCAGAATATGCACTTTTCTTGGCTTAAGCATTATTTATATAGCATGTACATTTTTTGAAATATAATAGAGACTGATTTAAACTACAAGTGAGTGTAGTTGTTTTATGTATATACTACATTATTTTATTGAAGGCACCTTGCATTTTGATATCTGTGGGGGATTCTAGAACCAATCCCCAGAGCTTGTATTCAAAAAGGCTAGTGGGAACCTGGGACAGAGGCAGGGAAGTCCCAAGAGAGGTGGCCACTAATGGATAAGAGGTTTACTTTACAGATGAGTGTGGGATAAGTGTGCGATTCTGTGAGCATGCCACACCACCAAACTGTAGACTTGAAACAAGGGCACATTATATGTAAATCTGTCTCAATCAAGTTGTAAGACAAAATTATACTCAGCAGAGTAACTGGACACAAAGGAGTATGCTGTGAATCCATATGCGAGCTCTTCAAAAAGCAAAGCACACCTGCAGAATCAGGGATCAGGGAGCATTTGGCCGGAAGGAGAGAGATGAGGCAATGAGAGAGCACCCTCAGATGACGTAGGAGATGAGTAGATAGGTGTATCTGTCAAAACTCACCAAACTCTACGCTTGAGATTTATACATAGTACTGTGTGTAAGTTTTATTTTAACAAACGCTGAACATTAAGAAAAATCCACAAGTGATGTGTGGTGGTTTGAAAGAAAACGACCCCAAAGGGAGTGAATCTATCAGGAGATGTGGCTTTGTGGGAATGGGTGTGGCCTTGTTGGAGGAAGTGTGTCACTGGAGGTGGGCTTTGAGGTCTCAGACATGCTCAAGGCACACCTACTGTCTCAGTTCACTCTCTGTAGCCTGCAGTCAAGATGTAGGACACTGGTCTACTTCTCCAGCGCCATGTTTGCCTGCACACAGCCATACTCCCCGCCATGAGGTAATGGACTAAACCTCTGGAAATGTAAGCCACCCCATTTAAATGCTCTCCTTTGTTCATGGTGTCTGTTTTCACAGCAGTAGAAACTCTGACTAGGACATGAGGTTTCTATTCAGTGATTCTCTTGGCTATGACATCTCTCAGTATTTAAGGAAAGGGACATCGGCTATAGGTCTGTAAGCTTCCCCTTGTCCCACACAATCACCCAGGTTTGCTGACTTGTTAAAACTTGAGTCTCAGAAGATCGCCACATAGCTGTGACTTAGGACAGAGAAAGGACACAAAAATAAAAAGATCAGAGATAAAAGGTGCATGGAACCAAGTCCAGAGGAGGAAACCTGGGGTGCTCCAAAGAGTCTTCCCTGAAGACACACATAGTTCTAGCACCGAATTCTAATAGCATGTGTGGCATGCTCTCTGTTGAGAGCTCATCACACATTCAGTGTCCAGGATTTCCACTGGAAGCTGCTCACACAAGCACACACACTCTAAGGTGTCGGGTTCCTGAAGGAAGCAAACGTAAAGACACAATATACTTTAAAAGGCAGTAGGTCATTCTCATTTAAAAACCCCATGTGCCCAGTAACAGCCAAAGGGCAGACACACAAGCTAGGCCTCTAAGGTTAGAACCTCTCAACCCAGCTAGAACAAAGCCTGTGTCACAGATGAAGTATTGGCAATGTATTCTCCAAGCTTCGGAAAACAACTACGACCACAACTGTGGTATAGGAAGAGAAAAAAGTTTTTGTTTTGTTTTGTTTTGTTTTAAGTGTTAGTAACTGGTATGCATAGAAGCTTTCTAGGATTTCTTTGCAGTAGATTTAAGACCTTGTAAGAATAAAAGGAAAGAAATCATTATAATAGTTGAGTATTTTTATCCATAAGAGAAAAAAATAAATAATAAATTATCTAGAAATAACTTCAATAAAAATCATGAATGCATATCTTAAAGAAAACTGTAAAAGGTATACTGAGATATGAAATATTTGCAGAGACCTTCATGCCATGTTACAAAATGCACTATCAGGAAAAAGAAGGTGTCAACTCGTTCTAGGTTTTAGTGAGTTGTAGAGGAGGCTGTTGCCTCCAGATGAACCTTCTTCATGGGTGCAGGTGAACAAAGGACCTATTATCACAGTTCAGGTGTAACTAACTGGCTGCCACCTACAATTCCATCTCCCTGGAGACTACCACCATTGAAACAAGTCTATACCTCGATGATAGGCACCAGATCCATGCAATAAAATATTACAAAGAACACCTTATCCTGATTGCTGAATTGGGTGGTGGGGGAGTATTTTTGTTGCCTAGGGCCATCCATCTTTCTTACACGGTGCTTAGAAAACCCAGGGTAAAGACAAAACACAAACAAGATATGCCCGAGGAAACACTCTCGACAGCGTATGTTACATGCACTGGATGGGGCCATGCCTGGAGCTACTGTACCACCTGTATCTCCAGAATTCTCTGTGATACAATAAATGTCTTTACTTTTTCTTCTCCCGAACCCTCATTTTGGATTAAGCTAATAGGGTCTTGCCTCCTATGATCAAGTCTTAACTAATATGTAATTAAAACAGTGAACTTCTAAACAAATGAAACAAGCCAATAAATAAGATATAAAGAAAGATCCATGGTCATAAATGGACTTATCATGTGCCTATGTAATTGAGATGGTAACCTAATAAATACAATTAATGAACAATAAATTATTCAACAATTACTAGGACTATTAGCCCAGATTCCCTAAATGTAAATTCCTAAAACAGCCCAAATGAAAGGGGTGGGGATGGAACAAGAATACATACCTAGATTCTTTTCCAGCCATTGATGCCCTTCAATCAGTTGGTCAATTAAGGCAAAATAGTGTGCGGTGGCTTCATCAGGCATGACCCAGCCGCCGGTCACAATCTCCAGCTGACCACTCTGCAGTAAACTGGAGAGAAAATACATAGAGGTTAAGGTAACAACATAACAAAGTTCCAAGAAGAAACAGAAATGCATAAACATTTAAGATCAGCCTTAACAATTGGCCTGTACCTGGGTGGGTGGGGGGCACATTTCTTTTTAAACAAATCATTGAGCTTCAACTCCAGCCCCCAGGAATGAAGTCTCCACGGGAAAGGATCTTGGGTGACCCTTATTTTCCAGGAGCAGGCTTTCCATGAAGGTAGAATAAACAAAACTCCTCATGTCAGGAGTTCCAGGGTTGATTCCTGAATCTCACAGAGCATTGAACAGTGCTCTAATCAGGCAATGTGCCTGGTGTTTCCTGGAGGACTGTCATTTCAAGGACAGTGTCTGCTTCCATGTACCAGTATCAAAAAGTGGCATTTGCGCCTATTCCTAGGACACTGCTCAGTGAAGGCAGTGATTAAGCTTCAGTTTTAGTCAAATGCGGGCAACACTGCCTTTCTGAAGGACTGCTCAACGCTGCGCTACTGTTGTCAGTTGAGCATTCCTTCAACATAGTGCCATGCAAAATGGCGATCACCAACTGTTAATCACTGATAACTCTTTCTTTTGTTTCTCCAATAACACAGACTGTCCGTTGGAGAGGTGTGGAAGTTCAGAGTCAAGAAGCTTCTAGAAGTGTTCATCAATACATCAATACATGACAAAAAAAAAAAAAGCTGCAATTTCTGAAAGCTTTGTTTATTTAAAGACACAATTAAGGCCAAGACTACTGTACCCCTGTGGACAATGGGCTTTTACTTAGTCAATTCTTTTGCCCTGACCCTTATGTCTAACTTTGCCACACTCCAGAGGCGGTGTGAATCTGACTCTTGGACCTCAAAATCAGAGGTCAGTAACTTGAGATGTAAACACGGACTGGAATTTAATCCCTGATAATCAAATGTACACATGTTTTCAATTCCATTATTTCACTCTCCTAATAAATACATACTTTGGAAATCTCCAGATATACTTTCTTAAAATAAAATTATTTGCTGGACTTGACTAGACAGAAACTTCAAGTTCGTAAGAACTACAATGAAATGAAAGAAAAGAATTATTCCAAAGACGAAACTTTTCCTTTTTAACTTATATCAGTTTGTTTTGCTAAAAACTCCTATCCCATAGGCCTGAATGTTCTCCAGGAACCATCAACCAAGGACAGCATTATACGTTATGCACAACAGGGAGATTCTGTAGCTGAATTTGTTAGTGACACGTCCCCTTCCTTGAGAGTCTTGGGTGCTACTTGAAGGTATTCTGGATTCTTATCTGTACACAGTGACTACTCTAAAGACAGCCTGTACTGTACTGTACTATACTATACTATACAGTACTGTACTAAAGACAGCCTGTACTGTACTATACTATACTATACAGTACTGTACTCTAAAGACAGCCTCTTTCCTACCAAAACGCTATCAAGCAATTTCATACTGCTCCTCTTCATCACCCTGGATGGTTCTAGCTACCTTGGTGTCTCCACTGAAGTATAACTCGCCCAGAAGCCCCTGAGCAATTCAGCACTCCCCTCTATCTCCTCACTACCCAACAACATAGCCTTTATCACTAACCAAAATGGCCCGTTTATTCCTGCCTGCCCCTCCCTCCCACCCAACAACAGAACAAGCATCAGGAGAATCATCCACCCGCTTGCCCAACACTGAGAAGCCTGCTTTTGAGACTTCGGAACAGTTTATGAGACTTTCCATTTCTTATTAGTAATTAACAAGTAGTTTAAGTTGTGTCAGGCTCGCATACAAAATAAATCAAATAAGATAAAGTCGATTATAATGGCATTTCAATAATGTAGACATTGGTAGAAAATATGGAAATAAGGTTCATAAAAACGTATCCGTGAGAAATCAGGATATAGTTGGGACAAGAAGAAACGAATACTGACAATACTGCAAAGATGACTGAGCAATCCCAAGCCCAGGTGTTTAATAGGGTGATGTTCAGAAACGTTAGGAGTAAGAGGGGGAGGTCCCTTCGCGGTAATGAACATAATTCAGACTGGGCCAGTCCATGACAGCACTGTTTGCAAAGCGGGCTCGCTGCAATGGCACATTAGATCAGGGAGAGTCTCCTGGGTAAAAATCAATTTCATGGACTGAAAAGAGAGAAAACAGGGATGGACAGGAAGTCTTTAAAAAGAAAACCAAATGAAGAGTCAAAGGTCAGGTGGGAAGATGAATGGGAATGGAAAAGAAAAGAAGTGTTAAGAGAAATAAATCCATGAAAAAATATCTAGAAAAGTGTCAAGACGCAAAACCCACCCTTATAGTTCATAAAAGGTATTAGAGTCACTGTAACTATGACAGAATATACACAAAGCTGAGAAATGGATTGCTCAAATACTGACATTAATATAGGCATCAGAGTGATTGAGAGAAAAACCGTATAAAAAAGCTAAGATCATGGCATGGAAACCCAGGGACTTCTGTAAGACAGTGTCTCATGCATGCCTTTAAGACAACCTGCATAAGGAGGCCAAAGCCAGAACAAAAGCAGGCCAGAAGAAGAGCAGTTTTAGTTTACCTTAGCATAGTTTATTCAGACAAGACAGAACACCAAGTAGAAGAAAACAGTGTGAATCTTAAATCTGTACCCATAGCCAAAGTACTATGACAGGGACAGGATTAATCAGGTTAGCGAGTTCACCTATTCCAAGGCAGCATCTGTTTTCCGACTGTGTGAGGCTTTGAACCATCCACAAGAACAGAAAAAAACAGATTATAAAACCAAGTTTCTCAAAGTCAAGAAGGTTGGACTAGACATAAATACTTACTGAAATAGACAAAATAACCTGCCATGCAAAGGTTCACCATTATCAACACGAACAAAAGACATACAATGTAACGATGAGCCTGCTGAAGTATCACACCTACAATCCCCATTGTTTGCAGTCACATAAAGGTTAACAAGGCAGGGTAATTTACTTTCTAGGGATTAATATGAAAAGAAAAATAACAGGAAACCTGTATCTACAGAAATGTTTGCTTAAATAAGACACTTGCATGTTCTCAATGCTCAGCAGCATCAAATGGAGCATGTCTGTAAGAAGCAGAGGGAGACACTCAAACAACACACAGCTGCCACATGAACTCTACACTTACTCTACCGGAAGGCTCTCTGCTTTCTGTCAAACTTTCCCATGTCCATGTCATAAACATGACACCTACAGGCAAACATAAGGGGATACACAAGTCTAGGAAATTCAAAAGCCCAGGATCTAGCCCTAACTTTCAAAATCACCAAGGCTCACACTTGGGTTTTACAACGGCAGCTAGCTGCCTGGTAGAGGACATGAACCACAGAGAGCTCACGTTTCCACTCCAATGCTACGGATTCCATATAAGATGCTTTAAGGAAATTACTGATCAAAAATAAGCCGAGTGTGTCTGTCACTGCTCATTTTGCCCAAGACACAGATTTTACACTTCAGAATTTACTACAATGCTCAAGAATCTGTAAATCATTTTTAGTGAGTGTCATGTCTTCCTCCGTGTAGACTCATCAGACAGACATTTGTAATTTGGTCACACACAGAAGGACACACTCAAAGAGCTTTCCTCCCTAATGGGGAAATTGTTACAGACAACTTAGTAGCAAACAATGCATCATTTAGCAAGCTTCAAAGAATCACAAATTAATTTCACAGGAGAAAATGAGATGAATTTGTAATTATGCATGGGGGAAATATGAAATAATGTAAGATGACATACTGGGTTTCATTCTTAGATACAAAATTAGTCAAATGGAAACGTAAAAAAAAAAAAAAAAAAAAAAAAAGATGGTGTCTCCCAAAGAATCAACTGATGCCCTGAAGGCCTCTGCTAATCAGATCAACTGAGGCAAACTCCTTTTGTGTGCAGTATCTAATGGGAGATCGTAAGCAAGGCTAGTTTCAACCCCCGCATGACAACCCTGGATCCTTGCATTTTTCTAGTGTTGTGGATGCAGACATCAAAGACTGAGTATAATAGAAAAACACAAAATGAGTCTCCTCCATTTTTCCTTCCCTCCCCATCTTGTCAGCCATGTCTTCCCAGCCTAAAGCATCTTCCCTTCTAGCCCTGGTCTAAGGAGCTCTTACCAATTCACTATTAGCCACCACATCCTACCCAAACTTCAACAGAGCTGTCACCTTTCATAAATTCTAAAACCCTCCTTCATAACATCTGTAGCTGAAATAATTATTCATCTGCATGCTATCTTTTTCCTCCAATAAGCAGAAGCTCCAGGAGGGCAGGAATTCCCTGTGTTGAACACTGAACACTTAGGACTTCCTACCAGTGTTAATTAAATGTAAGAAAAGGGTACCAATAACAGTCGAGGAAAATGAAGAACAATGGTCAGAGATTTCAGAAATCACTGATCTCTACAAAAGAAAAAGAAATGAAACCTCGTCCAGAAGGAAATACAAGCTGAATGGAAAGTGGCCTGCCCTGACTCACCACCTATTGGGTTACAAAGATCAGAAGGTTGTGTAACATTCTATGAAGCCGCAGATATGTGGAAACAGACACACATGCTAACGCCAGGGTTCACCCAGCTGTAGACAGTATATCTATCCAGAGTCACTCAGAAAAGTCAGAAAGTGTCAACACTGAGATAAGAGATATGCTCCGCATTAGCAAGGGACACCCGCTGGCAGTGGATAAGCAAGCTTCCATAAAAGACTTTCTAAAAGTTCTTGAAGATATGTATTTCAAGGCTGGCATGGTGGCGCACACCTTTAATCCCAGCACTGGAGAGACAGAGGCAGGAGGATCTCTGTGAGTTCAAAGCCAACATGGTCTACAGAGTGCATTCCAGGAAAGTCAAGGCTACACAGAGAAACCCTGTCTCAAACAAACAAACAAAAAAAGTGTATTTCATTAACTCAACTTTTATTGCCAAGTAGTATTTTATTTTCTTAATCCAACATCTTATTGGTGGGCATTTGAACTATTTCCGGTCTGCTGTGAAAATGTA